TAATTGTAATTTATTAATGGACTTTGTTAAAAAAAAATTAGATGCCAGTACTTGTGCTGAAGATAATATTTTTAAGAGTTATTTCTTGTATGTATTTCCCCATATGATATTGGTTTGATGTTTAATGTTATTAGTTAAATAAACACATCATGAACGAACTAACACATATCTTTATACTTGACTTTGTTTTCCTAAACCCTGTAATTACTCTTCACTGATGAACATGTATATTATTAATAGAGCTATGAATTCTTCAGACAATCTTTGGGTTTAAGATAGTGAAATGTTTATTTTTATATTCTATACCATGCTTTTACTTACGTTGAATCGCATAGGTTCGGTTGTCGAAATTTCAGAAATAATTCCTCCTTCATAATACCGAGCTTCCAGTCGTATGCGGCACGTCTTAAGTGTGTCTAGATAGTTCCAGAATCTTACTGCTCCTGAACTCACCAGTATCAGAAGCATGCATAAGTGTTTCGAATCTTCTAATTAATCGACATAAACGTGTAAGACTACATCCTTTACAGATATATATATATATATAATAATAATACATAGCTCTTCCTATCGACAGGATTTGTATTGAACATTTTGCCAAATACGATTGCAGGCAATTTACTGAAATACTATTCAATATATTAAATAAGATTGAGATTTTTGAACTTAGTATAGCGCTCATTACTGCTCTAATATGAACATACAAAAAAAAAACAAAAGCATTCGGAACATAAAGAATGAATTGATTTGCACTAGAAGAAAGGGTATTATAGGCGAAAGCATGCTCCTAATCCTATCATGTAAGTAAGTATTGTTTATACAGAAACAAATTGCCCTAGATTTTTTTTCTGATCTGTAAAAGAACAATTTGTAATTTGATATTTGAATTGTCGTCTCGGTGTATCTATGGAATAAAACTACCGTATAAATTTCTACAAATTGAGAATTATTGACTCTCTGACAAAGTTAACAACAAGCATGATGTTTTCATATACGCTGCCCTACTTTGTCTTATTTTTAAAAGATAATTTGGTTCATAAATTCCTGGATAGTAATTTCAACACAGCAGGTGTGAATAATTTAAAATATAATCATATCGATATTAAACAATATATACCGCATTTACATAATTATATGTTAAAACTTATAGCATAGAACAATAGCATTAAATTCATATAAATTTGCAATTTTGGATAAACAGCAAAATAAACCTGAACAGGGGACAATGCTCTTACTAAATCAAGGGTTAGGTGATACAATTGTTCGTAAGGTTAAGTACATCCTTTCTCACACATGCCTCTGCTGTATAAAACGTAAAGTGCTCTAATTCTCCGGCTTGCTGGCTGGCTGGCAATAATTAAGGGAAGATTAATGGACGGAATTGACCAACAAGAGGCTAGCAGATATTGTTCTGGAAGCATAAAATTAAATTTTGTAACTTGTCAATCATACTTCTAGTATAATTGCTGTGATTGGTTCTTTATTTCTGATGTGTGCATAACCAGAATCCGTACAGGCAAGACAATTCCGTTAATCAAAATCTCGTCCAAAGTATAGCAAAATCGAAAGTAATAGTTGCATAGTAGTTGATTCCTCAAAAGAGAAATACCAAAAAGGAAGCATGTTCTGCTTCGCTTCTCGCTCTTTTCTGTAGACAGTAATGTTAAATGGCGATGAGATCACAGTCGAAAAAAGCACAGAAAAAAGTAAGCGAAACAAGTAAAGATTTTTGAAGAAACAAAGTGCAAGCTAAAGGTTAAGAAAATTAGATAAGTTAATAATTAATGCTTATCGATTAAATGAGATTATTTTTTTGGTGAAATGAAAATAAAAGAATCAACCTTCAGATATGTCAATAAATACTTGTACCTGATGATATTTCTTCTTTTATAAAATTATTTATGAATAAATTCATAACCTATAGAAAATGCAGATAAAGAAACATTGCAGAAAAAAATAAAAAATATTGAATAATCGTAGTTCAAACTTATTGAACTGAATAAGATTTTGGCCTAGGACGGACCAGGACAATACAGAGATTTCTATTTCTTGTCGCCCGTGAACGTGTGGATGGTCGTCAAGACTCTGGTAGTGGAGTCAGTGGCGTCGCAGCCCCGAAAGATTTTCGGGCATAATCTCACCACTTGGTTAGAAATTCGGGCAATCTCAGATAATCCGCCCCCTCTCGGACGTAAACCTGGCTCCGCCACTAAGTGGAGTTACAGGATAAGCGTTGGAGCAGTTTTGTTATAATTATTTTCATGTGTATAAAGTGAAATTGAATAACGAAAAAAAAAAACCAATATGGATAACTTTCCGTCTAAAATATTTTCTTTTATGTGTGGTAAGCTTCCTTGTCCTTTCTTTTTTTCTCTAAATAATTAATTTCTGGACCACGGATTGAACAAGAACAAGTCACATTTCCTATTTTAAAGCTCCCACGAGGTTGTCTAAGAAAAGAGTAAAATACTGTTGATTTTTAATGACTTTTCGTAACCTTTAATGGATATAAAATAAGCTGGAATTACAGGCACTAATGGATTTGGTATTTTTGGATATTGACTTTGATTGTACATGTTAATTCTTTCCTTGTCACAATAAGTCTGTGTCACAGACCGATGGGAACTCGAAGCAGACATTTGTTAAATCCGTTGGAAGTACATGTATCTTAGCGTCTGGTAAAGTGACAATTGCTCGTTCGTTATTCTGGAGGTTTGGGGTATATATATCAAAGCAAGTTGCGTAATTTCGGATTTCACGACACATTTTTCTCTTGCCGCTGTTACAACAAGCACATTGTCTTGTCCTTTGGATCTGAACCATTGTGGTGGATAGACAGCAGATCAATTGGCAGACCAATTAAATAACAGAGTCTCGGCAACATTTTGTATTGATTGATTTTGACGATAATTGGTCGAACAAGCCGAGTGTTCTTCGGAGCAAAGCCAAGCCAAGTCATATTGCTGACTGCAGAGTGCGCACTTGACGTATCTGCAACAACTCGCAAAGTTCCATTCCTATCGGCGATTTGTTCGACTAGATACCAGTGATATCTAAGCTGAAGTAACGATACTGGACACGAAAGAGATAAATTTACCTGTATTGCCAAAAATGCAATTGAGTTTTACTTACTACATGTAATGAGTCCGCTAATACTTATGTGATGTGTCTCATTAAAAATGTACTTGAAGATGGCTACTGTTAAGGAAGGTAGCGTGTTTCCAGACAGGCGTAACTCCCAGATCAGCTATTAATTACCAGACTACTAAGGGATTACACATTATTTGATAACCAGGAAACAATTTTCCTTTGGGATAACATAAAACATAATTACATCACCTTCTTGAAGAAAGCCTATGTAGTTGGGAAATAAATAACACCAGGGAGATTCAGGATTAGTTCAGACGGTACCAGATGGTATTAAGATTCGAGAAGCGATTTTATATAAGCAGATTTTGTCTCGTTACTGAATCCCATTATGTTCATCTTTCACCATTTTAAGTTTGTTGATGCGATGTGTTTGTGAAAGAGTAAGAACGACCCACGTAGGGCGCATTCTGTTCATTCCATAGAAATGTCTATGTTCTTGAAGACCTTTACTAGATTAATCCAGTTCCCTGTGTATTAAAGAAATGTTGCAGTTTCACCATTAGTCTCTTTGAAATCGTATGAACTACCTGAAATTTACCAAGACCGAACCGTAAAGGCCGAATCTTCATAAATGTCAACGGGGTGTAATGTATCTTCCGCACTGGATGTCAATTCCCGCCTTCATAAGGGTAGAAAAAATGACGTAAAATTATATTTTATTTCAATCTGGCCGACCTTTGCCACAATATCTTCTAGAGATCAGCACCGTTTTGGCTATTTGGGGTTGCTTTCAGATCTTTCGGTGGCTCGGAAATCTATTCGAGAGTATGCTATCGTTACTGTAAGCAGTTTTCTAAATACAAAAGTCAAGAAAATCACAATTTAATCTTTAGCCAGCCAGTAGAGTCATAAATTAATACAATAATTGACACTTAAAAAAGATTGAAGACGTCTCGTGCTTTGAAAAAATAGATTTATCTTTATACGTCTAATTCATTTAAAAAATTACAATATTGAAATTAAAAACAAATAAACAGTACATCATCCAAGTGAAACTAAAATCAGAAGATGCTTAAATATAATTATGCTTTAATGTCTAATCATCATTTGCATTTCTTGGTAATTGCCGTATCAATAATTAGTAGCTGTCAATCAAGGCGAGTAGGAGGAGTAGAGCCCGACAGAAATCCAATACACTGCTGATGTACGATGTCAATCTTCAGTATTCATACATACTCGTGATAACTCAATTCAAAAAACTTTACCGGGTTTTTATTCTGGAATGATAAAGGTGTGTTGAGCATTATTTAGATTTGTTTCAGCGGAATGACTTAATGGTACATAGTGAAACATTATAAAGACCTTTAGCATCTTCGATTTATGACTTTATTCTTAAACGGTTTTGTCTATTTATGATTTTCTCACGAGAGCGGGTCTTCATTCATCTGTATAAAGTATGGACTAAAGGACTTTTTAATTGAATTGTTTGTTTCTGAAGACGTCCTGGCGATTTCCTTGTGGGTGGAAATACGTTAGTCTCAACTTTTATAATTGTTCTGAAATGTCGGCTAATATTGCCGGAGGTATTAAATATGATATAGGAATCCTTACCAGATCAGCGTAGGTCGTCAAGAGAAAACTGTCTAATGGTCAACCAGTGTTCTATTTAACTTAAAAACTGTTTAAAAAATATAGCAAAGCATCTATCCGTGACTTTATTTCCTTTGCAGCATGCTGTCTTGTTAAAAGGTTTTTTTGTTATAGATTAATGTGGATGTGTAAGGAGTCTTCTGCGTGTAATAGACGTTATTAGACCAAGATGGACAGGAATTGTTAGTCAGATTATTAAGAGAGTGTGTTAGTGTTCAGAGAGTAAGAATCCTTGAAAGAGTAACATGGATGTGGACAATATGACAGGGCATAGCAATAATACCACTTGTTGGACACTGCTAGAGGAATATTGTGGGCCAAGAGAGGGGTTTATTGATCAAATTCATGAATATATGTTCCCTTCTATTGAAGAATGGGTCATTATTATTCTTCATACTCTTGCATTTATCGTTGGAAGTATTGGAAACTTTTTGGTTTGTTTTGTGGTTTGGAGGAGTAAGCACATGCAGACAGTTACAAATCTGTTTATTGTCAATTTGGCGGTTGCTGATTTTCTGGTTGTTGTAATATGTTTGCCACCAACAGTTCTTCAAGAAATAACAGAAACCTGGTTCTTCGGCGAGCTGATGTGTAAGATTGCCATTTTCCTTCAGGTAAGATTATTAAAATGAACTAATTAATTTAATTCAATTCTCACATCTCATTTATTAAGGTTGATTAAAATAATGATTATTTTTTAAACGCCTTTATCTCAGTAGGCAAACCACAGATCGGTTGCGTCGAAGCGTAAACTTTTGGTTTTAGAATTAATATACTTTTCTCAACCTTATTAATAGGAGGTATGTATAAACATCTGAAAGTCATGGCTGTTAAATTTTTCTCTACTCTTTTCGAAACACCTGACGGTACTCCTCTTTGGAGGAGTCCACTACTATCCAACTTTACTCGATTTTACTTTGGACGAGATTTTGATTAACGGAATTGTCTTGCTTGTACGGATTGCATGAAACGCAATTTTGCTTAATTGTTCTTCATGATATAGCTGTTTTTTTGTTTGTTTTTTTTGTATTTGGTATTTGTTTGGACGAGTATTTTGGTTAACGGAATTGTTGCTTGTACAAATTTTTATTAAGCGTCTTAACATAGATGATATACAATGTATGTGAATATTACCCGATATTAGGTAATGGTTGAATTAGGTGAACTACATACATTGCAGTGCTTTATAATCTTTTAAGATAAGAAATAATGAACAAACTACTCTGAAGACACGTTCGTAACTCTCAATGCTCATCGAAATCAATTGAATTTGTGCTTATTTGCCACAGCTTATTTGTATTTCCACAATCAACATGGTATTGCCCCTAGCTATTTCCTCATGTACATCGACAGATATCAATCGACCTACAAAAACGTAACCTGCATAACATAAAATACAGAATTATTCGATGATATACAATTTAATTCTAGGTTAACCCATATACATTCATTATAATGATCAGATAGATGTCACAGCTGAATCTATTCTTGTGGCCATGCAGATTTTTTTTTATTTATGCTGGTAAATGCCAAAAAATCCAAGAAATCTGTTTCGATGCAGGAGCAAAAGAAGGAAAATGCTTATACTTAACGGTAGTAACATTCGCGTCCATCAGATCGTGTCTCTAAGCCCCGGATTCACAAAACCACTTGGCAGTGATCCTGGCGAATGGTCTGTTGACATTATTGATGCTTTACCATGAAAGGCCATAATTATAAGTCAAATACGACAGTCAGGCTATAATAATTAACCAAGTACACGTATTACAAGACACTGGATTGATGACCCTAGTAGTAGGGCATCAGGTGTGCTGATCAATACGCTCATTAGCGACTCGTGCGTTAGTTACATGGTGCTTTATGCTTTTTTCGAAGAAATCTTCAATGCTTCTGTTTATTTTGAAGCTTAGAATGACCGGGATAGAAATCTTACGTATTTGATTCATCTGTTATCCCGACACCTGGACATGAGAATACCAAATTAATAATATCACACCGCGAGCTTAGTTCAATAACCAGCCATATTACAAAATTGCTCACAATGCAGCAGCTCATGTTCCATATATATCACATAACCTCACCTGCAACAAGAGCTAAGCCACTGGAATCCAAACTAAGGCAAAAGTTATTGGACACGGACTCAAATGATCAATGTAATTAGCCTAAGAATAGCAATTAGCCACATAATACTGTCAGCGACGGCGCCAGCCTCCTAAGACTGGAGGTACAATTAATATGGGGTGTAATGACTTAATGAACAACTGGCTAGGTAAGATTCAAAATGCGACAACCTGAATGTCTGAGAGGGTTCCCCAAGAAAATTTTGCAAAGATAGAATGGAATTGGTGCAATCTGACTCATATTAGTAGGAGAATATGAGGACAAAAACATATAAAAAAATTTGATATTTAATGAAGTGGGGTACGAACCATTTTTCTCGGGAAAATGCCCCTTTCCCCTGTACTGCCAATGTCTGCCAATTAGGAGTGTCCGGTTGTTCCACTGACCAACAAGAATTTAATCATGTAAAATTAATTAGTCTGAACCGGCCGGATTCTTTAATATCTTCCTATTTACGATTTCATTATCACCATAAAGTCACCACCCTTGAGAGCCTGGTTGATTAACAACGATCTCAAATCTTTTGTTCCAGACTCTTTTGGAACTTCTGTTGTCTACTTAATGTACATTGATATTTCTGTACATATCTGAAATGCAAATAAAAACACCTACATGCCACATAATCCTATCAGTTGTCTGGGCTTTCTAAAAAAGGAGTGGCAAACGTCCTGTGTCTGTTGGCGTTCATAATCATCTTTGTCATATTTATTGTACGATTTTTCTCGTACCATTGGATTTAGAGATGATGAATAACATGCACGGATTTATTACATAGATGACCATGTAGTTTTCTTGTAAAGTTCTTTCGTTGACTATTGGTTTGGTGAACTGTACATTATAACCCATATATGTACTTGTGCTTTATTTATATTTTACCCCAAAATATGATATCTTCAAATAAGTTTCGCTTTTGTACATACAACAATAGGATTACTTAAGACTAATGCAAAACGGCTCAAGAGTAACAAGTACAATAGTGAAATCTCCGTATTCTGCCCGCAAAATATAAATTCGATTTGATACATTCTGCCATTAGTAACGCCATCAATAACATGGGCAGATAATTATAAGAATTATGGCGTGAAGTGCGAATGTTTAGCTAGCGGTTATTAAACATGTTCTATGCATTCCAAAGAGTTATACTTTATCTATAATACAGACGAATATGAGAGGTATGTGTAATTACTTATTATACTCCTGAAGTGGACAGAAATTAGATCCATAGATGGTGGCAACACTTACGACATTTGTGTAATGCGTAATGCCGTTCTGAAGTATATCGTTTGATAATCGCCATTTTATGTCAAAATCTTTAATAGGCGAGCGGCATTTGCGTATGGTTGCGAATAAGAATAGCGGTCATACGTTTCGAACGCAACTTTCATGCATTTAAGTTGTGAAACGCGTTTGGTATCCATGGCCACTTTCATAATTCTCAACCATACGCAAATGGTAATCACCATGGTGTAAGGGTACCTTAAGATATTAGATCTTATATGAAATAAAAGAAGATTCATGCGAATCAAAAACTGACTAATGCGACTTTCTTAACAAGCCAAGTTTTAATCCCTATCTAGTTTAAAAATGACCTTAGCAAATTAAGAAAATTAGCTTGATATAAAGAATGTGTCAATTTGACTATATTTTTCACGTTAATGCGAAATGGGAAATACTGTTTTTGTCCAAATCAAAATGATTTATCTTAATAAATCGTATTTAACTTCATTAAGAGAGAAACCAGATCTATGATGTCGTGCTATCTGTCTTCATTTACTTACGAACACCATGACAAGAGAAAAAATATACAAAGCAATTGGAATCGTGATTGTTTCCAGTAGAACTCAGAAGACTTAATATTTCTTATGTAATATTAATACAAAGATGGTGTAAATGTGAATTTTAATTTCTTGGACTTATTGGTCCTTTTGTATGTTATTCATTAGCTGCAACTAATGTTTGTCGTTATGCTGTTTGGATTTCGGGTTTCGTTTTGCGATTTGGTTCGTTAGTACTTGGTTTATTTATGTTGCTAGATAGGAAATGTGTCGGTCATTCATTTGCCCTTCAGCATTGCTTATTCTGTAATATGGTTAGCTACAGAAATAAAGAACAGATATAAGCAATTCATCAATTGGTTACTCTGACAAGATAGAGGCAGCCGGAAAATCCATGTTGATGAATTCCAGTATTAAAGGATCTACTAAACGTAAAGGAGGTTTTTCATTTGTCTTATATAAGATATAAGCGAAGCATGAATCAGTCTCGATCATTTATTACATGGCTAACATAGTTAAGACGGAAAGGTACCCATATCAATAATATATCAATAATTTACTGCCTACGTACTAATACGAGGTTCCCCAAGACAGATTTCAAACATTGACGTTACTTTACAAGCGGCCCCCAAAGATTCTTCCTATTCCTACCAACTGCGTGGGTTTAATCTGTATTCCTTTGAGAGAGGTAACATCTATGACAAATATTTTTTATTTTATTTTTTTGACAAATATTTTTTTATTATCATAAACAACATGTATGGCGGTAAGGCTATTTGAATTTGAATATATGGGGAACTTTAAGACGTAAAACTACATTTCATTTTATTTTAGTACTTCGTCAAAAAAATGCCATTTGTTGCTGCAAACATTTTGATATTAAAAATCCTTTAAGATAAAACCGTGTGATCTTTTAAGTGCGTTTTATAGTAATGCTTCAATATTTCTAAAACTGCTGATGCTTGTAAAATTTTAAAAGGAAGTAGTCTTAGAATAACAGTTTAATTAACTTTCCGTGCCTGAACATTCTATGTTAAAGAGGCAGATTTGCATTCTGGAAAGTGGAATATTTCTACGGTTAAAAGCTTTAGAGACCTACTTGAGGTGTTAATTAACATCTGAAACAATCAAATCAGTGAAAATGTGACCAGTTTTTGGACTCGAATGACTTCCTACGCAATGTAAACTGTTTGTAGTAAAGGGTTGGTGGTTCCCATATGTGCTGTTAATTCAAACAATTTCAATTTTCGAATAGAAAAATCAAACTTTTACACTGTAAAAAACAGTCAGGCGGGTTAAAAGCAGGATTGTGAACATGCTAATATAAGGCTTGCGGTCAGCATTTTGTTTTTAAAGCTATCCTAGAAAAGTCGATTACTGTACACACTGCGTATATATGTAAACGCAGTGGACATTTTTCAAAGTAAAGAAAATTCACTCAAAATTCACAGAACCTAAGTTTCTCGCTAATTTCATATTCAATATTTTGTTAAACAAAGCCTTTTTGCAGCTATTCTGTGCCATTACGCCATTTTCGACAGAAATAAATACGTCAGTAGTTTTTGTCGAGGTATTCAACCACTTTAATATATGTTCATTGATTGTTGTACGATAATTATACAGATGTTTTAAAGTCAATAATCTATTGTTAAAGTTTCATTCAGCTTTTAAAATAAAAAAAATAATAGCATGTGAATAAACACGAACATTTAATATCC